GGAGCCGCACCGGCCGCGGGGCCACCTCGCTGCCACCTGCCCAGCACACGGGGGAGGCCCAGGAGGGCCCAGGAGAGGACCAGCCGGACGACCCCGGACTCTGGAGGGAGTCCCCAGGGCCGGGACACACCAGGGTGTCCCGCAAAGACCCTCAGCCGCTCCTGGGCAGCGACGGCGCCCCCCACCCAGCCCCATCCCCCACGTCGGGGGGGGCCCTCGGGGGCAGACAAACCACACAGCCAAGGGATTCGAATTAACTCAGCCATTTTTGGAGAACCTTGGGGAAAATGGAAATTAAAAAAAAAAACATTTTTAAAAGAAAAACGGGGAGAATAACAAATTGCTTCTATTGATGAGTTTTATCATCTCAATTGAATCTTTCCTTCCCCTGGTGAACGCGAGCTGGTGGCCCGTGTGTGGCGAGAAGCCGGAAGCAAAGCGGAAACCGAGCGTCCCACACAGACCTCCACCAGACACACTCATACCCCACACACGTTCTCAGACACACCCAGGAGTGCTTGCTGGTTATACCAAACCCTACTATTACTGCCTGCAGAAATCAATTTAAAAAAATAATAAACAATTTTAAAAAGGACAAAAAATTAATGATTGAGAAAAAGAAGCATTTTTTCTGACATTTGGTCCTGCTTGAAATAACAAAAGAAAAAAGAAAAAAAAAAAACAACCACCACCGATTTCCTTTGCTTCTTTTTTCCTTTTTCCTACCTTGTTTGAAAACTGTGGGCTTGGGACTGTGAATTATTGCATGACATTCAAAAAGAAAAAAAAATAAAAAAAAAAGTTGTATCAAAGGGCTTCTGGATTGGAGTGATCCTTACATTCTCTGCAAAATTCTCCCCAGGTCTCTCTGGGGGGACCCAGGAAGGAGGCGGTTTGAAAGTGGCTAAGAATGAGAAAGCTTTAACTTCTCTAGCCAGCACTCTTTGCAATGTCTGTGTGTTGCTCCCAGCCCTGCAGACAAGCTCCACCTGCCACAGAGCTTAGTAGGCAGAGCTCCAGGGATCCTGGCAGGGGGACACTGACCAAAAGTATCCACCACACCCCAACTTCTAGGTCAGCCATTTGACCTAGGGGCTTGGCTCAGCTCCAGTCTCACTGGCTGTGTGACCTTAGGAATGTAACTTAACCTCTCTATGCCTGTTCTCCCATCGGTAAGAGAGGAACAGTATTAGAACTATTTATGATGATTAAATGCATTATTTTACATCAGTCGTCAGCAAACTTTTTCTTAAAGGAGCAGAGAGTAAATATTTTCAGTTTTGTAGCCCAGAGGGTCTTTGTCTCAACTCTTCAACTCTGGACATTGCATCAGGAAAGCAGCCTTATATAAATAATTGGGTATAGCCATGCTCCAATAAAACTTTATAAAAACAGGCAGGCTTTCCCTCTTCCAAAAACAACTAGCCAGGGGGCTGGATTAGGCCCTGTTCCACATCAGCAGTTTTAAAATGTTTTGTTCTCAGCACCCCTTTACATTCTTAAAAATATATATTGAGAAAGAAAAAAATAAAAAATAAATATATTGAGGACCTCAGAGCACATCTGTTTATATGAGTTATAGCTACTGCTATTTGCCATTTAGACATTAAAACTAAGACTTTTTAAAACTATTCATTAGTCTTTAAATCACAATCAACAATAAACTTACTAATGATAATGAATATTTTTAATTTAAAACCACATTTTCCAAAACAAATTTCAAAAAAAGAAACATTGTTTTACATTTTTGCATTTCATTAATGTCGGCTTAACAGAAGGCAGCTGGATTCTCATATCCGATTCTGCATTCCACCTATTACAATATCCAATCTCCCCTGGAAACTCTATCATATACGTGTGAGAGCATGAAAATGATAAAGGCCAAGGCCATCTTAACATTATTATAAAAACAATTCAGTCTTATGGACCCCCTGAAAGGGTCTCAGCAGCCCCCAAGTTTCTGGACCCCTGTGAGAACTGCTGTTCTCAGAATAAACAGCATGTGGTCCATAGTGAGCTATTATTTACTAAGGCCATTACTACCATAGCATCAAAACAGAAAGTTCCAAAAGGTCTTGCTCCAGACCCCAAGCCTTGAGCTCACCTCAGGTAGAGGAGGCTGAGGGACTCCAAAAAGCAGGGTGGGCAGAGTCCCTCCTATAAATGTGGCACCAAGGAAAGGATCAGTCCAGTAAGAAACTAAAGAGAGTTTTAACTTCCTAACCAGGCAGCTTCCCCAGTCACAACCTCCACAGACTCCTAGACCAGCTGCCTGCCCAAGGCAGGGCTGACCCCTGGCAAAGTTCCCCCTCCCTTAGTACTGGGGCTATTCAAGGAACAGGTGGATGTGTGCAGTTCCCTCAGGAGCCAGGGAAGCTGCAGCCACCTGTTCAGAAGGGAACAAAGCCCACTGCCTGAGCCCCCACATCTCTGGGCCCAAAGGCCAAGCCTGTGGCTGAGTGCCGGGGGGCTAGACCTCCTCCATAGCCCTCACCTTTAAGCTGGAGCAAGTGTAAGTTGCCCATGAGACACAAAGTTGGGGGTGGGGATTAGGGAATTAAGAGGCAGAAGGGGGCTTGGCTTAGAAGCAGGTCTCACCTCCCTCGAGTTCCTGATCTGAGCTGCATCATATGGAAGGTTGACGAAAGGGCAAAGGAAATGGAAACTGAGAGACAGTTGTGCTGCGCACATGCCCCAGACAGCTCCCTTCCTGGGCATAGAGATCCAAGAGACTCAGGCTCCATTTCAGATGTGTCCTTGGGGCTTCAAGGAATCACTGCCCCTTCCCTAGAAACCACAGCCTCCCATTGCTACCTGAGCCTCAACATCCTGTCTGTAAAATGGGAACCCACCACTGTTGGGGAAGTAAAGCTTTTCCTCTACCCTCTTAGAGTCAGTGCTTAGGGCCTGTGAATTAAATTAGCAAATAACAGATTAATGGCAGAAAAGGCACATATTTTTATTAATATTTAAATGTATTCACAGAAAAGTAATGAAATTCAAAAAAGCAATTAGACTCAGGGTCTTATATACCATTTTTTCTTTATTTAAGTATAGTCAGTTTACAATGTTGTGTCAATTTCTGGTGTACAGCATAATGTCTCAGTCATACATGTTTATATACCATGTTAACAAAGGAAAGGTGGTTTGAGTTTCAAGGGACAATAAATTGTGGGAAAGTGACTAGGAAATGTATGAGGGAAACTAATGGAAGCTAAGGGTTATTTTAGTAAGATTTGTTTATGCAGACTCATCTCTGTGCCGACTTTCTGTCTCCAGTGGTGAGAGTCACTCTCCTCTTCCTGGTACAAGGGAAGGAGGGGACACCTTCACAAAGAGAACTTTATGTCACCTTCAGGGGAAATTCATACCTTGCTTTTAGGCAGAAAAGAGGAGGGCAGAGAACTCTTCCTGCATTTGTTGATACTCAGTGCCTTCAGCTCAAAATAACCCTTATGCTGAAGCAGCATATTTGGGGTGATGTATGCCAATCTCCTTCAGCTATGGTGGAGGGTGTGGATAGGTGACAATACCCAGTTTGAGGGTTCAAGGGAGAACCAGATCTGTACGTGGCTGCCAATGGGAGAGCCGCAACTATGGGGACTACTGGCTCCTCGGAAACTCTGAGCAGCACTGGGGTAAAGATCTGATTTTAGGGAAGCAACCAGAAGGAGGTGGATGGGGAGAGGACCCTCAGCAGGAAGACTGTGTTAATTTCACCACGCATTTGAGAAATACTCACCAGCACAGCAAAGACAGTATCTTCCAGATACCATCGCTGAGTAGTGATGAAAGATTTAAATTTTTAAAAGAAAAAGTGACGGCTTTTAAAATATTAAAGAAAACAGTGGTCATATTAGGGCTGCCGAAACAAATTACCACAGGCTGGTTGGCTTAAAACACCAGCAATTTATTCTCTCAGTTTAGGAGTTAAGAAGTCTGAAATGCAGTTGTCGGTAGAGTTGGTGCCCACCCAAGACTGAAGGAGACTCTACTCCAGGCCTTTCTTCCAGCTTCTGCAAGCTGCCCAGAGTTCCAGCCACCCTCCCCACCTCCCACCCCACTGCACCCAGTCTGGCTTCTTCCCACCACCTCCCTCTTGCCCACCCTGCTCCAGCTCTCAGAAAGGCTTCTCCACCCAGAAGATACCCTACAAGATTCTGTTTGCTCAGGAGAAAATGATCTGGAGATATACACTGCCAGCTGTGGATCGTGATGTTTACCTCTGAAGAGGGTGGGGAAGGCCCTTGATGGAGAGCTGGGTAGACTTTGGTGCTGTACTTAATTAATTCTACAAAAACACACAATCGTGGGGAGGGTATAGCTCAGTAAAGTGTTTGCTTAGCATGCAGGCGGTCCTGGGTTCATCCCTGGTACCTCCATTAAAAAATAAATAAACCTAATTACCTCCCCCTCCCTAGACCAAAAAAAAAAAAAACAAACAAACTCTTACGTTAATAACTACGAACGGTTAACGTTAAGACGT